GTATTGTTGATTATGTTTGCTGTATAGTGTCTTTGGGTGTTTTGAAAGGTGCTTTAAATAATGTTTATTATTATTAAAAATGTATTTTTATGTTTAATTCAACCAGAGGTTGTCCTCAATATAAGACGGACCCATCATTTTATATGAGCCAACCTAGACTTTATCTCCCAGAGCAGAGGTTTCTGAACAAGTTGTAACTGAAACTAAAAACATGATCAAGCTACCTCAAAGATAAGCATCCAGAAAGGCGCTTTCCCTTTAAATTTTAGAACCCTTCCCAATTATCCCAGCAAAAGTGAAGAAATGTCTTACCTTGATCAACCCACTGATCTAAAGTCTGCCCTACTTGTTTGGATTTATTTTTTGCTGAGAACACCTAATTCAATTTCTCAGAATTGAATAAATCTCCACAGATCCACACATGTTCATGCGAGTCCCATAGTCCTGAGTACAGCTCAGCAGTTTTACATCAGAACAAAGAGCAGAGCAAATAGAAACCACACCTGACCATTATCTTGTTACCTCAATTCATTTTTTTTTTTTACTTTGCATGAAAGGGCAAGGGTAATATTTGTGAGGTAAGAACCCACATTACAGACACAACTATTCCAATTTGTTTCTGTAAAGTCAGAAAGATCATACAGGACCAAGGGTCCAGGAAGATCTGTTAAAGACATGAGCATGGGAGAACAACATTTAGGCACTGGTTTATACAAGAGAATAAAACAGGTCAAAATCCAAGCAGTTTGGGAGAAAGGCATAATCCAACACATTGACTCACTGGACAACAAAATTACCTCGACAAAGGGAATAAGAAGAGAACAAACTTCATTTTCAAGCTGTCCAATGGCCAGTTAGACAGAGCAAATGCCCACATAAAATGTACTATTTTAATCTCAACACTCAAAGGAAAAAATAACTGGTCATGGCAATCTTAGGGCGCTGAACCCCAAAAGGCCCCCAGATGGTCTCAATCGAACCCCAAGAAACACAAGCACAACAACAAAACATTTATAACCTGTGGTTATTTATGTAAGAAAACACCCAACCCAGTCCAATTATGGTCCTAAGGTGTTTTTGTTTATTTTTTATTTTAAGAGCAGAGAAACTTCTTCAGCAGGATGTAGTGCTAGCTGGAACCACAAGCCAAATTTTACTAAGCCTAAAAAGTTCTTTGTAAGGTTCCAAAAACACAACAAACTCAAGCGGAGAAAGTGGTCTCTTCATTTTCTCCCTTCTTAAAAGAAGCCGTCTGGGTGTGCAGGTTTTTTTTTTAGGTATTTTAAAAAAATAAAATAATTATAAATGTTAGAACTGTAAATATACAGTCATATGTTTATATTACTATTTTTTGTTAATAATGTATTTTTTACTGTTTTTCAAGGCTGCAATTTAAAAAATGACATTGGCTAGAGCTGTTTAAAACGAAATTTCCACTCATGTATACAAAATTACAAAATAAATCTGTCTATGTTTATGAGTCTAAGTTGGCGCAGCGGTTAGCGAGCACGACCCATGAACGGAGGCCTTAGTCCCCGACTCGGCCGACCCGGGTTCCAATCCGACCTGTGATCTCTCTCATACCCCCTTTCCTGTCAGCCTACTGTTGAAAAAATGAGCCACTAGTGCCGCATGCTAAAGGTCTTCTTAGTCTTAATTGAATGTTTTCCCCAAAGCAAGCAGAGGCTCCTCTTTTATGAATGATGCCCCACAACAGCTCCCATACTTCCCATTAAAAGAAACAATTTCTTTTATTTAGTACCAATAAACATACATATCAGCAAAGGAAACGCTCATCCTTGATCCTGTGTACCACTGCCGTGTTCTGCTCTGGAGCCGTTGGAGCACGAAGAAACTGAATGTCAGCTTAACCAATAAAAGTGTAGCAGAAGCGTGCTCCATGAGGATGCATTCAAGTCCACTGGGACATTTGACTGTTTTATTCGCAAATTTTCGTAAAATCCAAACAGTGTTAATGTTTCCAGCCAGGTGGCAACACGGGTGGCAAGGATCACTTCTGGGGTGACAATTGCCCCCCCCCCCAGCCATCCCTGTGGCTCCGCCACTGTACCATTTCGATCTGTGGACAGTTTTTCATGCTTGCAACAAAAATAGCAGCAGTAGTGGAGTTCAGAGACCAATCCACTTATTAAATCTATCTTTGCGCTCCTGCGATTTATCCAGAATTTCTGCATTTGCACTTTTTCTCTCACTCACAACTTGGTGGTCGGCTGCATATTTAGCATACTTTCCTTAGGAATGCCTTTCCAAATGGCACATTTTATTTCGTGACAACTTCTCATTATAAAGCAAACATGCAGGCTTCCTTCCCCAATACCTATCAATCCTTCCGCGTTGGTAATGAAAGCAAATGATATGATCCGTTCTTATTTGAATCCTCTGTTCTCATCAGCTATCTTTCTTTTTTTCTCTTTGGAATCCACGACCCAAGACTCACCGACACTCAGCAGTCACCTGCCTTGCACCATGCAAGGCAGCCTGCAACGTGTGTTGCTGGCTATGATGCAATTTTTTCTTGACAGAAATGTTTACAACTATTGTTTGAATTTATTTATTACACAAATGTTTACAGCATTGGAAAATATAATGAATATTTGTTTGACCGCTTACACGCCATATTAAAACAAACAGACAAAAAATCTATCTTTTTCCATTTTCAGAAACTTTTGAAAAAGCTCCAGGGAGCCTCAAGGTCTAAAGAGCCACATGCAGCTGTGGAGCCATGGGCTGCCGACCCCTGGACTACATCTAAATAAATACGTTTTAAAGCCTTTCACACATTGGTCATATGACCAAAACAAATCTCAGCGCATCCTTAGAGGGAAGTGGATGGGATAGATGATGGCATGAAAGACTGAAAAAACAACTTAACATAAATCTGGCATCTATTGGATCTATTCAAGCTAATTTAGTTTCTGTAACACTACTGCGTCATATATTAAAGAGAACATAACAATACTGTCTAGACCACCATTACTGAAAACAAAAAAACTAATCTGCTGGATTTATATATTTGAGCATGTTTTGCAAATTCTAATTGAATTTAATAATATTGTGAAGATACTACATGAAATGAAAGGTTTTTATATTAGAATTTGTATCTATTTTTAAAGAAAAAGCATTAAATCATTGGGTTTTCTCCTACGAAAGCAGGTTCTTAAAAATTGTGGCATAAAGTTGAACTAACAAAACTTGTGTACTAAGAGACTGATGTTCCTTTAGGTTCAAGGACATGCTGAAGAACTAATTAAACTAATTGAAATTCAGTAATGAGAGAAATTCAGTTCCCTAAAATAATCTGATCTCCTGGTCGCACAGCAGGCTCTGCTTGCCGCTCACAAGACTCTTCTCTTCACCGGTCTGCTGTCCACTAAACTTAACATCATTCTTGTACCACGGCAGGATCTGGCTTAAACCTGTACCCGCCCCTTAAAACCAACCCTAAGCAATAACCCTCAGTTTGCACGCTTCCACAAAGCGTCCGCCATCCCAGACCACGGTGGATGGAACGAGCAGACCATCTAGCCCTTAAAAAAGCGAGTCTGCCCGGCCCAATCAGGAACAAGGACTCACCTCTCAGACTCCTCTCTTCCCCACACCTACCCCACCCAGCCATGAAACATCCTTTCATACAATATCCTTCAGTATCTCTTCAGACCTCCTCACTAAGTTTGCCTTCCAAACCTGTACCTGGACCCCGGAGCCCATCACAGAAAAATTCAAGATAGTTTACTATTACAGTTCTTAGTATTCATAGATCAGTGCTTCAATGTTACTTTTGTGTATCTGCTTCACTCTTCTTGACCCTCCAGTTAGCATGTGTTGTGAGTTTGTGCTATATTACAGATTTTAATTAAAAACAAAATGAAAACTGAAACTAAAAAAAATGATTTTAAATAAAAGAAAATGTAGACCTGTTGCAGGGTATGTTCTTGGAACAGGACATACCTATTTTAATATAAGTATGAGAATATATTGCATAGTTTATTTAGTGTACTGTGCAGCGTACACTGGCTGGGCTTCTTTTGCATAATTTACCTAAATGAAGCATGACATTGAGGCAACAAGCCCAAAGGTAGAAAAAGGCTTGTCTGAACTGGTGACTCTATAGACTTTCATCTTCATCTTGACGATTACCTGTAGATTTTCAACTGTGGCTTGATAAACCACAGGCATAGGGCCCTCTGAACTGAGGGCTGACTCAAAGGGAATGAAAGGTTGTTTCCAATTAAACCAAAAAGGCGACGGCAAAAGTAAATAACATAGTCCTTCTTTTCATTGTAGCCAAGCCATGATCAAATTATCTGTTCTCCATTTTGGTTGGCTGAGACACACTTAATATTATAAACAATTTTTATCAAAGACATAATTAATGTGCCTATATATATATATATATATATATATATATATATATATATATATATATATATATATATATATATATATATATATATATCTGATGGTTGTATTAACTATAAATGTAAACAGAGTTTTATGAAACTGCCTAGCACTGCCTAACCACAGTGAATCAACAACAGAACATGAGGAAGGTCCCTGATTCATAGCGGCATCCTGGACCACACTCAACTTGAAATAAATATCTCTAGCCAGACCTTTCAGGGAATTTCCAATATGAAATAATAAATGAGCATTTTTTCCTACCACACTTCACCCCCTAACAGTTTTCCATTATTATGCTGAGATATAGCACTCAGCACACAGCAATCTTCTTAAATTAGTAATGGCCCTTTTGGCTAAATGTTTTTAATGGCAATCAATTAGGCCAAAACATGGCTCACATATAGGATTTATGCATTTGAAAATATATGATTAGGGAAATAATGTGGTCCAATTAAATAATTGGTATGTATCTATAAAATATGTTATTTTTTAATTGAAATATTGCAATAAAGCCACTTTCTGATTTCCAGTTGACTATGATCCATCCCTATAAATGAGTGAAATGAGGCTGGACTTACTGCAGACAAAGAAGTAAAAGGCTGTGCCGGTGAGCAGGACTGGGCTCCGGGCCAGAGAGCTGACCAGACCGCAGATGCCTCCAACCAGCAGCAGGACCAGGCTGAGAGGCAGCATCACTACTATGGCACCATGCATGCCTGAGAACAGAGAATGGCTTTGAAACACCGGAGGTATGGCTGTCCTTACGCACAGTTAACAAAGGTTAGGAACTCACTCAGCATGCGCAGCTCTGTCTCGTTGTATTTGGAGGAATCGGCAGAAAATGAATCAATGGAGTCATCTTGTGTTGTCCCGCCTGGATGTAAACAAAACGCTGTTTGTTTTAGATGACTATCTGTTATTAATATCAAATCATATTTAAAGGCGGTGAAGTTGTTGCCACCTACCTTCGTTGATGCGCCACAATCCTGAATGAGAGCTGAGATCCTCAAAGTCAGTCATATTATTTGGGTTCATCTCTATGATGTACCAGTGGTCGGTTCCCAGAGAAGTGGCCAAAAAGGCGAAGCTGAGAATCCCGCAGACACCAGCAGTGATGACCAGAGCGCCAAAGGTTACCTTCATGGTGCTCGGCTGAGGCTTCATGCGTAATGCTGGCTTCCCAGCGGGGATCCAGGATTTCTACCCGATCTACATTAGCAGGGGGGTGGATTTCTATAAAGGATCTGAAAGAAAAAAAATCTGACAGCAAAGTCTGCCATTAGTCAGTTTGTCTTTGCTTCTGTGAGGGAGGGGTTTGGCTTCATGAGGTGGGCGCGGATACGCAGGGAACCGCTGGATAGGAAAGGAAGTCTGGTGTGTTAATATTATAAGACAACCTGTGTCATTAGAAACAGTTAACGCTGAAACATTTTCAGAAAACTAAAAGCAGTGTTTTAAAAAGCATCCAAACCCCTTTAATATAGTTTCTAATTGTTGCCTTATATGCTGCTGTAAACTTTATTCGAGTTCTACTTACATATGTGTTCCATAGCCAGGGGCGGATTTGGAAAATGTGGGGCCCTAAAGACCGACAGGGGACCAACATAGCAGGAAAAAAAAAAAAAAAAAAGTGCATAAAAACCCCCGCATCACTTGATTTCATTTTAATTTCTTCAGCTACTATATTAAGTGATAGAAATGTTTAAAATGTAAAATAAAGAAACACTAAATATATAATTGAGGGAAAACTGCCAACCATCCATCCATCTATTTTCCAACACGCTTATCCCTACTGGGGTCTCGATGGGAGCTGGTGCCTATCTCCAGCTGTCTACGGGCGAGAGGTGGCATTTGTCATCTATATTTTTATAAATATATATGTTTTCCCTACTTTAAGAAAAATAAAATATGACAAGCAAACAATGATGAATCTGGCAGATTTCACAGTAATGAAATATCAGCAAATTTTTTTAGAAACTGGTATCATTATCGTCAGCAGCCCTACCTAAGGTTTGCATTCATCTGTTCCTGAATTAAAGTTATGAAAAAAAAAAAAACATAAAACAAACTGAATTAATCAAACAAGATGAATCCCTATGAGAAATGTGGTCGGTTGTTTTTAAATGTAGGTTCAGACTAGATTTCCAGTTGAAGTGTTTCCCTCAGTCTGGCTGATCAGGGTTGATTTGAGGAAGGATAAAAAAAAAAAGTAAAAGCCACCCTTAACAGACTAGTTGGACAACAAAGCAATTGCTTAAATCAAACTACATGTATCAACCCAAACCTTTTATTCAATTTATAATCTGTGGCCAGGTATATTTGATACATTTTCCAGTCTCACTGAGCTTAAGTTACTTTGCAAATATTATTTAGTATCCACATGTGAAGATGGGGACATACCTGGAAGAACTGCAGCAGGAAATGTGGCTCTGCAAGGTTTTGACTTAGGTGAGCTGAATCCAAATCCAGGTGATATTTTTCAGATTTGTATTTGCAAAGAGGTTTGAAAACCATGTGTTTTTTACTCGATAACCCACTGCTTTGTACTGATAAAATATAAATATTATAAAATAACATTAAGGCTTGGTTTTGTAATGTGAAAAAACATGAAAATGTTCAAGTTATGCCCCCGCCCATCCTCCCCACCTTCTACAGAAGCACCATAGAGAGTGTTCTGACCGGCTGGCTCACTGTGTGGTGTGGAGGCTGCAGCTCCTCAGACTGGAAGAAGGTGAGAACAGCAGAGAGGATCATGGGGGCTCCTCTTCCCTCCATTGAGGACATTTCATCCTAGAGCTGCGTGTCCTGAGCCCGTGACATCATCAGTGACTCCTTACACTCCCACCATGCTCCAGAGGCTTGGCAGCATTCACTGCAGGTCCAGCAGGTTCTGTAACAGCTTTTCCCCTGCCGCCATCAGACTGTTGAACTGTTAACTCTGCATCACACTCGCAACATTATTTCCCACCACCAACCTGGCTGAAACTTTTATAATCCTTTTAAATAGTACACAACTCAATATTATACTGCATTTTGCACCCTATTTACTGCACTGAACCTTTCCATATTAATGCACTTTTGCACCATTATTTTTTAAAGTGGTTCTCCTTTTCCCTTATACTGTTTACATGATGATCACCTCTGCACTTTATAAATGGTAGTGCTCATTTCACTGTTGTAAGCTGTAAGCAACACAATTTTGTATTGTATACTCTCTGTGCAAAAAAATAAGAATAAAGTTTGTCTAAGTCTAAGGATGTGATAATTTTACAAAATGTCAATTCAGTTTATTTATATATATCACAGTACTTTATCTCATGATACTTTATAGCTAATTGAGTTAGATCAAGATAGATTGGTCCAAAGCTTTTCATCTAAGGAAACCCAACTGAGTGCATCAAGTCACTGACTTTGCAGCATTCCCAGGATAAGCATTGAGAAACAGAGATTTACTTGTGTTGTATCATTGATTCTGCAGCAATTGCTGACATCAAGGATGCATGCAGTGACAGTGAAGAGGAAAAACTCCTTTTTAACAGGAAGAATCCTCCAGCATAACTAGACTCGGTGTTAGTGGCCTTCGCCAACTGGGGACTTGGATCTAACAGAGCAAACACAAGAAAGGAACATAGAAGTAGTTAAATACGCAAGAATTCCACTCAGGAGATGCTGTACTTCATATTTTTACTCAAGTACAAGTAGTACTCCAAATGGGTGAGTAGAACATGATATAATAACGTAAAATCAAGGGGCCAATGTAAAAAAACCAAAAAACAAGCAAAAAAAACGGCATTCCCCTTTAAGGTG